AGCTCCAAGGGCACTGCAGGGACCCGGGCTCCCAAATGGCACCGCAGGGATCCGTGGGCTCCCATCCATCCGGCCCAGCTCCAAGGGCACCACAGGGACCTGGGGGCTCCCAAACGGCACCGCAGGGACCCGTGGGCTCCCAAATGGTACCACAGGGACCCGCTGGCTCCCATCCACCCATCCCAGCTCTGAGGGCATCGCAGGGACCTGGGGGCTCCCAAATGGCACTGCAGGGACCCGCGGCTCCCAAGCAGCCACCCCAGCTCCGAGGGCACCAGCACCCATAGCTGCCCCCGGGCTCCTGGCAAAGCGGGAGCAGAAAAGGACGTTGGCTTCTCAATGGGCACAAAGCGCCCCGGGAGACACATCCCCAAGGAGCAGCCGCCTGGACCCCAGGGCTTCCTTCAGCCAYGGACAGCGGGCACGGTCACCCTGAGCTCCCAGGGTGCTGGGGTGGCACCGCGGCCGTGGGCAGGTCCCCACGCTCTGTTCTTCACCCCAGGGTGCTGCAGCCGACGGGCACGTGGCACCCTGGGGCCACCAGCTCCCCTGACCCAGGAAAAACGGGGAGGAGAAGGAGCAGGAAGAGCAACAAGCCCCGGGAAGCAGCGCCGAGCACCCGCGAGCTCCCGCCGTGCCTGGGCCTCCAAAACCTCCAGCTCCAGGGAATTCCACCCGGAAAGCTCCGTGCCAGGAGGCTCCACCAGGACAGCGCAGGCTGGGCGCCAACCGCGAGGGACACGGGCACCCCGGAGCCAGGAGCAGGGCYGGGCAGGGACGCGGGGACCAAGCTCCGAACTCCCATTTGAGCCTCCACTCCAAAACTGCCTCCAGTTTGGGCCAAGCAGCCGAGAGCATCGGAGGCCAAAGCACCAGCTGTGCCGCGGCGGCACCGGCTGCCGCTGACAAACACCGAGCCCAACCTGGGTGTTTTCCTGGCGTTTTCCCCCCAAAACCGACTCCTTCCCAAGCGTCCCTGCGGAGCGAGGAGGCACCTACTGTAGTTCTCCGAGGAGGACACGTAGGTGAGGACGAGGAGGGCGCCGTTCTCGAGCACGTTGAGCAGCAGGTTGAGGTGGCAGAGGCGCGGGTAGCGCGGGTGGGCGCAGGGGCAGCGCTGGTAGTGGTTCCAGTAGGCGACGGCCACGAGGAAGCGGGGCGCCGAGTGGAGGCCGATGCAGAGGCGCCACACGTAGCGCTGCGGGGCCTCGCCCCCGATGGCCGCGCTGATGGACGGGAGGTAGTTGGGGACCTGCGGGGGACAGGGCGGGTGGCTGAGAGGGGCGCGGAGCGGCCTTCGCCCCAGGAGCGGCCTCCGCGCACGGAGCGGCCTCCGCGCACGGCCTCTGCGCGTGGAGCGGCCTCCGCGC